TTAAATTATAAACAGTTGAGGTCCTGGCATCAACCCCTGTTTTCAAACCGTGATCTCTACCACCGGAAGAGCCAAGAGAGCAGCAAGGGAACACTACAACCTGCAAGCACCTGTCCAAGCTGCACACTGCCCTGATTGAAAAAAATAGCTCCACTCCTTTGATCTCACAGAGCAAAAATCCTGAAACTTTCCCTCAAAGCACAGCAGACTGCAATGGTTCAAGAAGGTGGCTTGTCAATGGAAGATTGCGTGATGGGATGGGACACTGGTTATGAGGAGACACTGGGACTATTCTCACTGCAGCAGAGATGGAGAAAAGAGGATAATACCGTGCAGTTTTGGTCTATTTTAACCTTAAAGGGTATGAATGTGCAGAATGAGTGAGACTGCCATAGTTCCATATGGCACCAGGTTACAAAGAAAAGCTCAAACTAATTAAGAACGTAAATTGAGCAGATGCAATGATGGTAAGGTATAAATGAGGTGGAAATGAATAAATTCAGCGACAGTTAATTTGACTGACTTTAAGGCATTAGAGGTTGCCTGATAAGGAAATGTTGAGGATATTGAACTGGTTTCATTGGAGTTTAGAAGAACTAAAAGTGATCATATTGAAACATAAGATTCTGAGGGCACTTGTATTCTTAAGTTACTTAACAAGGATTTTAAGCAGGCAAAAAAACCCCAAAAACACCATTTTAAATTATTTTTAATCAATCTATTAGGACATGTGATGTTATGCCTTAAGGACACTATTGCTTAGGCTCACTATAATTATTCCTCAGGACCAGAATTGCAGTTTTAAATATTTTTCTAATCAATTTGTTCAAAGATATTATTACATACCCCTGGAGCGGGTGAGACTTAAACCCAGGCCTCCTAGCTCAGAGGTAGGAACACGACCACCACATCAAAAGAGCCTCCCTCTCCCCTGACTTCTTAGTGCCAAGTGTCTTGTGTCTGTATACAACTTTTGTACATGGGTGTTCTGTTCCACTGAAATTTGAAATTCTTATCCACTGCAATTATGCTGTCACCACAGTGGCTATTGCTGCTAAAAGGCAGCAGCAGGAAATCCTCACTTCACAGGGTTCCTCTGACACAGAGCCAAAAAAAAAATAAGCCATTAACTTTTCTTCAGGAAGCAGTTGAACAATGCACTGCTTAGAATTTTGGAAGTAAATGATTTGCATATGACCTCAAAAGCGATAAATAGTTTTCTATTTGTTGCATAAGGCAAATGATTCATTAATCTTTTTAGATCTCAACATGCTAGCTATATTGTTTTGAATAAGCATTTTCCAGCAATGTGGTAATTATAATATTTAAAAGCATATGCAATTTACGATGCCATGATAATTTTTCCATTAGGTTATAGCCTCACAGATGTTCCAAGGTAGCATGGCTACCTATTTCTGTATAGCAGTATTATTTTTACAACATTTTTTCCTTTATTTAATCTGATCTATTAAAACTTCTTAATAATGAGGCAGAGCAGCAGCAGAGAAGTAGTGCTGCACTATCAGAGGCGCTGTGTTTGGACATGAGATGTGAACTCTTCCTCCTGCTCCTCCTCCACTTCCCCACCCCATTGCCCCCAGCCAAGTCAGATGTAGAAGATCCCATTGGTAGCTTTTCTTGATAACTAGGCTAGTTGAACAGAGGGCATGCAAACACACAAAATAGGAGCAGAAGTAAACCATACAGCCCCTTGAACCTGCTTTGCCTCTGTTCAATAAGATCATGGCTGACCTGTTTGTGTTTTGGATTGCACATTCCCCTGCTACTCCAAAATCACTTGTTTCCTCTGCCTAACAAGAATCTATACCCCTCTGTCTTAAACATATTGAATGATCCTATCTCTACTGCCTTCTAAGGTAGAGTGTTCCAAAGTCGCGTTGACCCTCTAAGAACTGCACAGGAATGCAAAATCTATGTCTGTGGATAGGTTTGTATTTGATTCCTGCTCATGGTAGTTCATGGGTATTTGTGTGACAGCTGTGTTTCAGTTGGAACCAGTTTCACCTCTGAACTACAAGCTGCCACATTCAAGCCCCATTCCAGCGCTTGACTGATTAAAAAAATAAGGCGTCCATTAAACTAATGTCCTGCCTGCCTCTTCAAGTGGATGTATCCCCAGTTAGAATTTATCCTTGAAATCCTGGCCAATATTGACACACAAAGAAAATGCAGATTATTTGGTCATTATTGCTAACCACATTCATCATGAAAATAAATGTTGGTGGAATGTGGATGTTAGCCTGTGATGCCAGCACAAACAAATGCTCCACACATTAAGGCTCCCTGTATTCTGCTTTTAGGACCTCATCTTTTTTTTAAACCTATGTTGCTTGTACCGATGTGTACCATGACCACTGCCTGTCCACCCTCCCGCTCCAGAATGTCCTGTACCCACTGCGAGACATCCTTGACATTAACACCAGGGAGGCAACGTACCATCCTGGAGTCTCGTTTGCCTGTCTATTCCCCTTACAATTGAGTCTGCTATAACTATTGTCCTGGCACACTTTTACCCCTCCCTTCTGCAGCAGAACCAACCGTGGTGCAATGAGTCCAATGCAATGCTTTCCCCAAGAGGTGATTTCCCCTCAACAGTATCCAAAATGGTATATCTGTTCTACACTGGAGATTCCTGCACTATCTGCCTATTTCTCTTGTCCTGTCTGGTGGTCACCCATTCACGTCCTGCCTGCAGAGTCTGAGCCTGCAGTATGATCACCTCTCCATATGTGCTTTCCATCATATTCTCTGCCTTGCGGATGCTCCACAGTGTCCCCAGCCACCGCTCCAGCTCTGAAACTCAAGCTTCCGGAAATTTAACTGGAGACAGTTCCTGCACATATGCTGAGGCAGGGGACTAGAACTTTCTGCGGCCTGCCACATGGAGCAAGAGAAGCAATCCAAGACTTTGAGCTCTGCCATGGTTTACCTCTTTAAATTATACCTTGGATAGTACTTTATGTTAGGTTAAATCAAATCCAGTTATCCATGGCCCTTCTTTCCTGGTCCATGTACTACGGACATGTTATGAAACTCCTCTGGAGTAGGTGGAACTTGAAACAAGATCTTCTTGCCCAGAGATAGGGATGGTTCTACTGTGCCATGACAGCTCAGCCCACTTAGTCTATAGTAACACTGGATGAACAAACAAACAAGATCATTGAAGTCTTGACATAAACCCAAGTCCTTTTCATTTGAGAAAAAACTTCAGTTAGGATGAAGGGAAATCATATTGCTTTGTTGCAGTCATATAGGATGTCACTTACAGCCATGACAGGGGCTGTTCCAGTGCTGTGGCAGGGTTAGAGAGAGGGGGATTCAAAACTCAATTTTGAATTTTAGCACCACTCATGCCTCCTCAGGTACTAAAGCAGTTCATATCCAAATGCGACAAGAACTGGGCAATATCCAGGCTTGGGCTGACAACTGACAGATGATATTCGCTCCACACAAATGCCAGGCAATGACCATCTCCAGACAAGAGCCAATCTAACCATCACTCTTGGCATTACTGAATCCCCTCCTGTCAACATCATGGAGGTTACCATTAATCAGACGCTCACTTGGACTTGCCATATAAATACAGTGGCTATAAGAGCAGGTCAGAGGCCAGGAATACTGCAACAAGTAACTAGCATCCTTACTCCCCAAAGCCTGTCTACCAGCTACAAGGCACAATCAGGATTGTGATGGAATACTTCCTACTTGTCTGGATGGGGTAACCCCAACAACACTCAGGAAGACACCACATCCACAAACATCCATTCCCTCCAACTACTGACAGTCAATCGCAGCAGTGTGTGCCAGCACAAGATGAAGATATTTGCCAAAGATTCTTAGTCAGCACCTTCCAAATCCACAACCTTTTCCATACAGAAGGACAAGGGCGTCAGAAACGTGGGATTATCAACACTTGCAAGTTTCCCCTCTAAACCACTCACCACTCTAACTTGGAAATATATTGCCATCCCATCACTGCCCATGGGTCAAAATCCTGGAATTCACTCTCTAACTGCATTCTAGTTTTACCTACAGCACATGGACTGCAGCCATTCAAGAAGGCAGCTCACTACCACCTCAAGGGCAGTTAGGGAAGGGTAATATAAATGCTGACCAGCCATCGATGTCCACATCGCAGAAGTAAATTGAGAAAAGGCTCGGATGCAGGAAGTATCAGCACATCCAAGAGTCTTGGAGAAGAAAGAGATTTTAGAGATACGATAATAGTTTGAAAGGATAGTGAGGTCAAGGGTAGATTATTTTTGAGTAGGAGGTGATAATGGCAAATTTGAAAGAGAACTGATTCCTGAAGAGAGAGAACTATAAGAAATAGCAACTAACAACCATATTCCTATGTTTTAATTTCAGATCGACAGCATCTGCAGTGCTTTGCTCTCATTTTAGAGGACGGCAGAGATTAAATTTAAAGATATCACGGAAGGGAATGATCATGGTTGTACTGACGGGACAAAACATTTGTTTAGAGTGGAAATGCCAAAATAGTGATGATCAGATCAAGGACAGCCCGAGAATAATGGCAGCTCAGTTAAAACCATCAGCGAGATTTGTACTTAAGCATCAAAACAAACTGTCTGTCCAGTTAGCAATGAATTTGTGAACTTCCCGTGCCTTTATTAATTACTGATGCGGTCAGGAGTTCCTCGGATCCACGTTAAAGGCAACTCCTCCCCAGCCGGAGCACGGCAGGTACCTGCGGTGCCAGATGTCTGTAGGCGGGGCCGACAGGTGTCCGAGGGCGGGGCTTGCAATTGTGGGCGTGGTTGGCAGGTGTCAGTGGGGGGGGCGGGGGGGGGGGGGGGGGGCGTGATTGGCTTGGGTCAGTGGGCGGGGCGGTGGAACATTTTTGGCTTGGGTCAGTGGGCGGGGCAGTGTGGGCATGGTCAGCAGGTGTTTGTGGGCGGGGCCAGCAGGTGTGTATAGAAAGGGGATTGGGGCAGCTGACGCAGTGGGGAGTTGTGTTTATGTCGTATTGTGTTTGTGGAGAGGAAGCGAGAGGGCCAAGGAGCGGTATTGAGGAACCTCCGGCAGCTGGAGCAGGATGGGCAAGAAAAAGAAGGAAGAGAGCACCTCCGAGGCCTACGGTAAGAGAGGAGAGGGAGAAAAACAGGCTGGCATATCGACAGGGCTGGGGTAGAATGTGAGCAATAGTTGATCAAGGACTGGGTTGGGGAAAGGAGAGGCATGACTTAAAGGATGGGTTATGGCAATGGCTGTGGAGTGGGCTTGATGGACCTAGAATTGGGTGAGAGTAGACTGTATTGTATAAGATGGAATGGCGGGGGTCGGGGGTGGGGGTAGTGGTTGAGAAGTGGGTTTATTGGGCACAGTGTAGAGTATTGAGTATGAACTGCATAGAATGTAGTGTGAGTCCATGTTTGGGATTGGTTAATTGGCATTGTAGGGTGAACCTGAGTTGGGAAGGGTGTGGACAATGATTGGGAAGCAGGTTGTAGGGTATAGGATAAGATAGGAGAGGAAGTGGGCAGTCACTGGATAGTGTGCCATGTGGAGATTGAAGGTGAGCATGGAGTAATTCTCTTTTGACTATCTCCATTCAAATTATTTGTCTTTTTTTGTTGGAGGAAATCTGACTTGAGAAATATTTAATGTCTGAAATTGTGTTTAGATCTCAATCAAACCTTTCCTCTCCCTTTCCACTTCTGTCTCCTTCTGTAAGTCTGTTCACAAAAGTCAACTCTACCAAATTCACTCTTATTTTTGACTGTTCCTGTCTACAATTTATTTCTTCTTTAAGGAAATGTTTGACTGTAGTCTGTAAGTGCTGTATGAAAGGACTCTGCACAGTTGGTAACCATGGTCTGTGATGATTTATTGTCAGCAGGTATACTGTGTATGGTCCCAGGGTTATTGGGCAATGTGACTCATGTTATGGTGGCTTTTGATTGAATGTTTCTACATGATTTCCTACCAGAACTTTGCCCAAAGTGGTTAAAGTATGAAACAAATGAGTGAATTCCTGCCTGCAAATGATTATTTGGTTCATTAGCGCTTCAGATGAAAGTTGGTGATGTAGCGATGACTATTCTCAGAGTTTCCTTAGCATTTACACAGTGACTCTAAACTCGTGATGGTAAGAATTTTGAACAGGTAACTTAATAGGTTGCACAGCACTATAGCATTAAGCAATATGTGTTTTTTTTAATCTTTGTTTCCTGATCTTGCTTGTGTGACTGTGAACAATTGATTAGGAAGAGGGAGGGTATCAAATTGCAAATGGAAGATATTAATCACTGTCCATCCAAACAATCTTGCATGTTTCTTTCTAGGTTGAACATTGCAATATTTAATGTATTAAAGCTGTCCTTTTTTTTTTAAAAAAAAAAGTGAATATTTCACCTCCTGTCTTCCCAAAGCCTGTTCACCATAGACACGGCACAAGTGAGGAGTGTAACACTCAAGAAGCTTGACACCTTCTACACAATGCAAGCCCACTTATTGGCACCCCATCTGCCACCTTGAACATTGCATCCCTTCACCATAGATGCAAAGTAGCAGCAGTGTGTGTCATCCACAAGATACAGTGCTGTTAGTCCGTAAGGCTCTTTTCAACACACCCTTCCAGTTCTGCAATCCCTGCAATCCGGAAAGATAAAGTCAGCCGATTTCTGGGAACACCACCTCCTGCAAGTTTCCCTCCAAACCACACTGCAATTTGAAGTTCACAGATGAACACAATGAATTCTGGAGTCAGGGTTTCAGTGGAATGTGACTGGTTCCAAGTGTCTGCTCAAATGCAAACTGTAGCTAGCAAACTGAAGAATACATGTGAGGCCATGAGGCAACTGGACTGCAGTGTTTGTGACACAAAGGCAGAGGGCTGTGTCTTCAGAAAACAACTTGGCAAAGGAACCAAAAAACCCTGACGTTGATTCTCTGGGAAACTCTCAGGAGTCTGATGGGCATTAAATGATGCAGCTCAACATTCCCAAGTAACAGTGTTGACTGTAGAAAGTCCGAGACCAAGCGCTTATATTATCCCCAGTTTACTTCTGTCAAGAATTAGGCAATTGTGGAGTCTGATTTTTGAAGGATTTCTGAAGTTGGAGCTAATACAGGTGGAAACATAGCGCTGTTTCTGACATATTCAGTGTTAGTGTGGAGTAGCAAATACCATCAGTGACTTGACTAACTTGTAATTCAATCATTGTCTGCTCCTATGATGCTGCTTGGCCTGCTGTGTTCATCCAGCTCTGCACATTGTTAAATTGAGGGTTATTTATAGTCATAGTTTCACTTTAGTCATGAATATTAAAATGCTGATTATGGAGCTCTTGTTAGGTAGTTTCACTTCCTTGATTATTGAAGGGAATCTATGCGCATCAGGTGATAAACTGTTCATAGACCTGGGTAATGATCAGTGAGACTCATACTCATACTTCTGAAGTTCAAAGACCTAAGTGCAACAATGCAAGGAAACATATACTTGACCCAGAAGGTGTGCAATGAGCTCTCTGTGGGGAGGCAGTGGCATAATGGTAATGTCACCAGACTAGTAACTCTGAGACCCAGACACCCACTCTGTGGGTTATGGGTTCAAATTCCACAACAGTAGCTGGTGGAATTTTAAATTCAACAAAATAAATTTGGAATAGAAACTTAACTTCATTACTTAGAGTATCATCAATTGTAAAATCTCACCTGATTCACCACTATCCTGAAAGGAAGGAAATCTGCCATTGCAAAAAATAATGTTTCGATTGGCTGGGAAATCCAGAAAATGGGGTCACAGTTTCAGAATAAAGGGTTAGTCACTTAGGACTGAAATGAGAAATTTCTTCACTGGACTGTGAATCAAGGGAGCACTGTGGATACTCAATCATTGAGCATATTCAAGACAGAGCTTGATAGATCTTTGCAAAAAGAGGTAATAAATGATAATAGGGATGAAGCAGGAAGGTGTGGTTAAGGTAGATGATCAGCCACAATCTTGCTAAGTCTGCATTTGAAGGCTCCTGCTCCCACTTCATATGAAAGTGCTGACTCCATTCTCTGGAATTGTTGTAAGCTTTTAAGAATACAAGCAAGACGACCAGATGACTGACTCAAGAAGCAAATAATTGATGATCCACACTGCTGTTTGAATTCCTTTCAACTCTTATGTAGCCATTCTGTGTCCAATCACTGCTTAGTTACAGGTAGACACCGGTGGGCTCTATCACTCACTCAAATGTCAGGGTGTCACTTGCCCACAGGTTGAAAAGAAGGGAAGCAAGGGTGGAGTTGAGGTAAATTTTTGAGTTGTGAAAGGAATGTTCCTTATTGTCAGTGTTACCTGTGGCAGTTAAGTCAATTTGAGGTGGTGTGTGTGTGGTGCAAGACGAAACACATTTTAAAAGGACATGGGCAACGTTGTTAACATCGAATTGTTCATGTGTGGAATGACCCGCTAGCTGAAGTGCTGGGTGCAGGTAAAAGATATCTGGATAAGTGCATGAATAGGAAAGGTCTGGAGGCAAATGGGCTAAATGCAGGCATGTGGGACTACTTTAGTTTAGGAACATAGTCGGCATGGACTGGTTGGACTGAAGGCTCTGTTTCCATGCTGTATGACTGATTCTAAGTGGGTAGAGGTATGCCTTCATGTACTTGTCATCAGCGCATGCTTATCTAGTTGAGGCGATGTACCCTTGGAGCATTACAGCCTAGAACCTGACTGGACCCCTCCTGAGTAGGTGGAGAAATCCCAACATAACATGGTTCCATTGCAGAAGGAGGTTGGTCTGTCTGTCTCTCAGAGCCTGGTCACTTATATCAAAAACATAATTTAAAAACAAAGTAATTAATCATTGTTGGCAGCCAATGACAGTAACACTGTCCCCACAGTGAAACTTACACGCATTCCTCCTGGGGCAAGGAACACAGTACGTTCAAGACTGTGGAACAGACCAGGGTGGACTCTAGCTCGGGTCTTGATCGACTACTTGGGATTAATACCTGGATCAAGTACCAAGAGCACAACAATGCTGCTGATATTGTGACATGGATTTTAAAGTTAGAGGGTCTGGCAGTCAGCTTGCCACAGAAAATTAGAGTGAAGAGAAAACGTTGCTTGTAAAATAAATGGCAAGGCCACTGCTGTAATGTAATTAAACTTGAGCAGTTGTCCAGAGGAGTGCTCAGATGAATGAAACTTGATATTGCTAGTGTTTTGGACCCAGTGGTAACTTGGATGAATATATACTTCCCCCAAACCAGCAGACTTTACCACCAAGAAAGGCAAGGGTAGCAGGTACTTGGAAACACTGGCACCTGCAAATTTCCCTGCACGCTACATAGTACCCTGTCTTGCAACTATATCACTGTTTCTTCAGGGTCATGGAACTCTCTCCCTTTACAATGCTGTGAGCATACCCACACCTCATAGACTCCAGTGGTTCAAGGAGAGCAGCTCACTATCATCTTTTCCAGGGCAGTTGGAGACGGATAGTGTATGTTGGCATAGCCAGCAATTCTCACCTCCCACAAACAAATATAAATACACCTGCGGTTATAGAAAGCAGGCATTTACATGCCTAAATGATTTTATCATCCTATGACTGAATAGTTAACATCTATTTTTGTAATTGCTGTATTTGAACAACAGAAAGACTCATGATAATGTTTTAATTGGTCTCCTACCTGGATTCGGATCTAACAAATTCCAGGAAGTATCGGTGTTTATTGTTTGCTCTATGCCCCAGGGGATCTTTGTACGTTGAGTTCAAATTCTTGGTGTGACCTCTAAGCAAACAACTTTTTTTGTGCGAAGTCTCACGTCTGTGCCTCAGTGCCTGAGCTAGTGTCGATGTTTAGTTGATTTTTGTATTTTTGTAGCACTGCATGCAACATCAAAATGCCTTTCCCCAAAATGTTCCATAGTCGATTTAAGTACAGTAACTGGGAAATTGTATGCAGCAGAGTCCCAAAAACAGCAATGAGTCAATCTGTGTTTGTGATATAATTAGTTCAAGCAATGGCACATCTTTTGTTTCATTGCTACTTATGCCTCAACCAAGCTTGAAGAGTTCATTGACAATTGGTTGACAAACTTGGAAGCCAGCTGTGTTTTTCAGCACCAAGT